GCTGCCTATGCCAAACTAGGCATCTGACTAAACACTTTTACTTTGTGCTACAAAAGTAATTTGCTTTTGTATTGTTTGACATAAATAAATTTAGTCTTTTGTTTGTTATTTGCCACTGCCGCTTTTAGGTGTTATTCGTGTTGACAATAATGCTTTTTTACAAAACTAAAAAAAAAAAAAAAAAACATGTCTTAGCACCTTGTCAGTGGTAATCTAATTTATGACCTTAATAAACAACGATTTTCTGTTTGATCAACAAACCTACCTGTAGACCTTTTTTTTTGTTTTTTACAATAATCAAATCTCATTTTGTGCAGTTGACAGAAAAGGAAAAACTAAAAATTGTTTCCTTGGTTTTTTAAGGCTATCTGATTCAACGCCACTTGTTTTAAAAATTCCCTCTTCAAGTTTTGAGGCCATTCAAGAGCCCATATCTTACAGCTCGTTAAAAGCCGCTTGATAATTTATTAGAAAGTCTAGGCTGTTCAAACGCAAAAATCAATCAGGGTCAGCTTTCATTTTACAAACCAGTACTAGGCAATAACCAAATCTTTGTCTGACAGATTCTCGAAAAAAAAAAACAGAAAAAACTGTGGCTAGAGTGGGATCAAACTGCATAACAAGTCTGTTCTTAATAACTTTGTACTTAATTTAGATTAATCAGTTAAGAAAGAACAGAAGTAAAATTTCTTTTGCTAGACGTTTCTCTTTCAACTAAGTGAAAATAAATATGACAAATAAACTTTGATTTTTAATCTTTTCTTATAATCATCTGTATCATTGACTTTATAACGTCAGTTTAACTTCCTGTGATACGCAGGGAACAACAACAAGACAGACAGCTTCAGGAAAGAACATCTAGTCAATTGACGCAGTTTCAGCAGTTTTATCAAAAGCAGTAAACTATATAATTGCATAGAAATATATAACCGCTGGTATTCTTCTAAAATGTCGTTAATTCGGCCAAGTAAAAAAGTTGTCTTTATTGCCTTATAGTGTTGTTTTCTTCAAATAATACATACAATTTTGAAACAATAATTCTTTGTATCAAATTCACAAAAAATTTTTTATTATAATAAAGCAAAAAAGAAGTATAAGTTCATCACTGATTTTCTGGCAAAATTTGCGAAAATAGAGGCTCTTTACTGTCTTCATTCATTTCAGCAGTAGCAGAAATATCAATATCATCTTTAAACAACGCAGTCTGTAAATAAGCCTAATAAAACAATAATGTCAACAAAAATAAGTTAAAAATACATTATTTTTATAAAAATTCACCAAAAATAACAAAAATTAAAAAATTTGAAAAAGCTTACTTTATTGTTTGTGGTATTATTACGAGAAAGACTTTGATCTTCAGAAAAAGAATTTTCTGAAATATCACTCATTTCAGGTGCAGTTGATATTCGAGGATTGGTTATTATAAACATTTTTCCACGTTTCGACATATAGCATTTATCTGGCGTTTCTGGCATATTACTCAATTCGTCATGGTATGGTAAACCAGGCAGTAAAGAATTTCGAGGCAACATCCTAAAAGTTAAAAATTTAAAAATTTTATAATGTACGCGCAAAATTTGTTCAAAATTTGCCAAAAGTTTTGCTTAAAATGATTTATTAATAAGATAAAACTGCTTAGCAATTGTTTTTTTTTTAAGATTTCAATGTTTATTTATCCACTGCTTGACCTCTGCCTGCTATTTACCGGCACTATACTCTCAGTTGAAAGGTTTACTAAGCTCTTAGATTTGAAAAAAGTTGCCAAGAGCACAGTTGAAATTTGTCTCTGAATTTTCATTTACTAACAAATTCCATTTCAACATAATATTAGTTAACAACGTATTTTTTAGTTTCACTAAAGATAATAGATAAACAAGTAAATTAAAAAAAAA